GCTCCCCCACCTCAGTCTAAACAGGGTTAGCCACTTCTCAAACAAGAACAAATATTTCATTAATTAAAAATTTTTTTAGTAGCAGAGATAAGGAAAGCCTTATTTTTAATTCACCTCCTCCTTGTTTCCCGACAAAAAAAATGTCTCCAGTGTCTCTGTCCTCATGGTTCTTGCACACACACACATTGGGGAGCAAGTTGCAGCTCAGGTGAGTTATTAGGGTCAGGGGTTCAGAGCAGATGAAATTCCTCCATTTTGTCTTGTTTCCTCTTATTTTAACTCATCATTTCCATCCGGTTGCTGTGACGGTGTGTGTGCGTTGGGGGGTGGCAGGAGATTGATGCTTGTAGCAGGCTGTCTTTCTGTGGCGGGGTGATGGGAGTGGGGGTCTGAATTCCACAAGGAGCGGCTCCGTTCAGGGAGTCCAAGTTTAAAAGGCAGGGAGTAAAAAAAAAAAAGTGGTTAGTTTAAGGAAGAGTTTCAGTGTTTGAAATGAATCAAAAAATCAAGTTGTTTATCTTTACCATATAAAAGAAGAAAACCTTTTTCAGGAAAGGAATGTCGTTTAATCAGTCGCCCCACTTTATCCTTCGGCCACTTTAAGTCACTTTTCCTCTCACCACATACTTTTCTCATCACCAAATTTTGGCCTTTTTCTCAACATACTTTTCTCAATGTAATTTAGTTTTTTGGATTATTTTCTCCATTTTACAAGCTTTAATTTCACCTTATTTTATGCCCTACTTACTTTCATTCTGTAATAATTTAATAGTTTTTTTAGGCTATGAGTTATTAATTTCCTGTAAGAGTTTAAATTTTTTGTTTCTTTAAAAGCACCATTGAAATTAAAATTCCTTAACTTATTACTTAATATAGTGTAAGTTTAATATATCATACAGTTTAAATGTTTTTAGTATCAGGTTTAAACACTGCCCTTTGCCTTCTAATTTTAACCCATTTCCCTCTGGAGCTGAGAGTTTCTTTGAAGTCCCCTCGGCTCCATTCATCATTTGAAACTTTTTTTCTCTTTTTTTGTTGTTTTTTCAAAACCCGTAAATCTTCTTACCATACCTTCTTTTTAGCCTCTAAGTCCTCACTCCCTTAACCTTCTAACGGGGTATTGAGGCTGGAAGACTGCTTCCTCCAGGTGGTACCTGACACTTCTAACAATCGCTGTCCTCGGAAAAAAGCAGTCAAGGAGAATTCTGCCTCGACAAGGCCAAATTGTAGCGGGAAAAAAGTATTCAACTATGCATGCTAGTTAAATAAACTGAGATCATCATACAGCCCTAACGGCACTGTATTCTGCACCTGTTTTGATCTGATCAGAATTTGTTCCCCCTTACTAACAACAATGGAAAGTAGTCAGAATCAAAAGAAATTGCAGACACTTTGGTTGACAGTAACATGTTATGAATAAACCTTAAGAAAGAATCTGGCTTGTTATGGAAAGAAGCTATGTCTGGTCTACAAACACCATCCTGCAGACAATGGTGTGGCCTTGAAGATGAATCAGACTGGGTGAAAACTTTTATAGTGAGTAAATAGGATAAAATACTATATAATAGAAGATAAATCTACATTTTCTGACAACAGTTACTCTCAGGATGTAGTTTGGCAAGCGACAGCTCAACACAAAATGGGAAAGGTTATAACTACAAGTTTGATCTGAAAAAAGGAATAAAATCATCCTTTGTTCGGAACTGCAGGGCTTACAGTTCTACAGCATAGTGGCAGATTTCCAACTTGCATCAACTGTGGTTGTATTAGAAGAAATGGGATTGTGTATTGAAATGTATATTTTAAAACATCAGAAAAGGTTTCTGTTCGAGATAGTTAACAAGCTAGCTGTTAACTGATGCAGGTCTGCTGATAGCACGGCACGGTAGTGATCTGAAAAGGGGTCCCTATGTCCTCCAGCAGTCTAAGTCTATAGCAGCATAACTATAGAGATAGCTCTGGATAACCTGAGCCACTCTAACTATAAGCTTTTTAAAAAAGGAAAGTTTTAAGCATTGTCTTAAAGGAATAGTACACCCAAAACATGATTAGCCTTCATTTTCTACTCACCCCCATGCTGAACAACACTCTGGAGTACTTTTTTGATATCTCAAATGCATCTGGAGATCTGGGAGGCTTTTTGCTGTCTGCTGACATTCAAATAATGGAGGTCTATTGTGCCCGAGACAGAAAGGTCCATAAAAGTCCACAAAAACGTGTCAATATTCCTCCATACTGCTCGTCCAATGTATTCCAAGTGTCCTGAGTGGGTAGCATCCAGAATTTACTCGAAACAAAGTAATTTAGAATGTTTTTAGAGCATAAACAGTAGTGTATAGTATTTCCTAAAAGCGCGTTCACGAGTCTACGGAAACCGCGGCAGACCAAACCAGACGAAAGTGCGCATTCAGCTCGGCAAAGAACTCCTGCTCTTCCTCAACACTGAAGTCCTCAGACATTTTTCTTTCGTTGTTTCTTTCTTTGCACAGGTAAACAGCACATTTCTTCTTCTACGCTTGCATTATCGGCAGAGCAGACGCTGAATGCGCACTTTCATCTGGTTTGGTCTGCCGGCTTCCGTAGCGTCCTGAACGCGCTGGCGCGCGCTTTATGCGCTTTATGCGCGCTTATGCATTTGAGATATCAAAAAAGTACTCCAGAGTGTTGTTCAGCATGGGGGTGAGTAGAAAATGAAGGCTAATCATGTTTTGGGTGTACTATTCCTTTAAGAGCAGACATGGTGTCTGCCTCACAGGCTAAAACTGGTAGTTGGTTCCATGGTCGAGGAGCCTGATAACTAAAAGATCTGCATCCCATTCTACTTCAAGAAATTCTAGGAACCACTAGTAAATCTGGAGACTGACAGATAAGTGCTCTGTTAGGAACATAGAGAATGACCTGATATCTGATATAAGATCTAGTTTGACCATTGAATGCTTTATATGTGAGGAGAATTCAATTCACAATTCACTGAAAACCTTTCACAGCTCTAAAGTAATGGTTCAGAGAGGGTAATCTCTAACTACATTGAGAAAAAATCAAAATCTATATTCTAATTAATTCCTATGAACATATTGCAGCTCAAAAAGTGATGTGATCAATTGACTCAAAATCGTTGTTAAGTTATAACATTCCACAGGGTAAAAAGGTGACACCTTTAATTTTTGCATATTAAAGGGGAACTTCATTTTTTTTTTACATTGGCCCCTTGATTTTACGTTATTACATCATGTTCTACTCTACCCATATGAGTTTTGTGTCATTTGGAGCTGTTCTGAAGTTATTCCTATAGGTTATATCAAAGTAACTTCTTCCTATGGGCAACGACTTGAAGGCACAAATTAAACTGTTCATGCGCCAGCTACCGTTTATTCATCCGGTCCACTGAACTGCTGCTAGTTTTACTCACATGCCTGGAAGAGGTCTTGTGCTACTACCACAGAAGGTCTCGCTCTTGAAATGGAATTGAACGATTCAGATTAGCTAGCCGAATTAATAGAAGAAGTAGAGCATAGCCGCCCGGGCTTCCTATTACGACTCCAGTCCGGCGTCATACAGGCGCTGCTTTGTTTTAAAAATGTATAAATTAGGGATGCACAATATTGGGATTTTGGCCGATATCCGATATGCCGATATTTTAAAATAAATCATGTAGCCGATAACCGATATCGATACTGATGTTAAAGCTGGACAAAAATAAGTAGTCATTGAAAATAGCAGTTTTGTTATCCATTTCTGACACTTTGGAAAATAATATACTCAAATATATTTTCATATGCTGATATCAAATTGATTTTTAAAAACGCGGTATCTATTTTACTTTCAAAATCTCGTGAAATTTCATCGTTCTGTTACGAACTCTCATGATATTTTGCAAATTCTTGTGAGATTTTGTTAGTAAAATAGACCAATACCGCGTCAATGTATCAACATATAAACATATGGCAAAATTTTGTGAATTTTCGGGGGATTTCGTAGCATAACGATGACATATTGCAATATTTCATTAGTAAAAGAGATTGACATGGTGTTTTTAAATGGCAATATATCAGCATATGAAGATATTGTGATATTTTAATGTATCAATATTTTTTCCCTCGTCTTTAGAAGTTTTTAAGTCTGTAAAAAAGTTTTTGAGGAAGAATAAGTAGTATTTATTTTTTTTTTTTTAGACTTTAGAAACTCAGAAGCTGATCAAATATCGGGTTAAATATCGGTGGGGTGGCCGATGTCCGATATTCAGTTTTAAGGCCGATACAGGCCGATACCGATAGGGGGCCGATTATATTGTGTATCCCTAATATAAAAAAAAAAAAAAAAAACGTGGATGTCAATATGTAGTCATTCGCCTACATATTATGAATGCTGGCGTACCATAAAGAATAAATTATGAACAGTTTAGTTTGTGCCTTCAAGTCGTCTGCCCATAGGAAGACGTTACTTATATATAACCTAACGCAATATCTTCAGAACAGCTCCAAATGACACATAACTCATATGGGTGAGTAGAACATGATGTAATAACGTAAAATCAAGGGCCCAATGTAAAAAAAAAAGCTTCCGCTTAAGTATCTTTAATCTTTTGATTTAATTTAAAAACTAAAACACTCAGACGCCTGAACCTGGATTAGATTATTCCAAGCTAACAGTGGAGAAATTTCATTAGAACATTTTTGGAAATCAGCTCAACCTTTGACACATTGAGCTGGGGTCTGTCTCTTCCAGGTAGAGGTGTACAGGAAGCGCTGCTGAGTTTAGGGTGTCTCATTACTTCCTCATTTTCCAGACAGTCACTGTGGTGCTGGATGTAAATGCTTTACTTTCCTTAATAATTGTTTGTGGGGAAATAAATTTAGGCCAGAATGAACTTCATATCTTCAGGTTGCTTGACAGGATCCACTCGCTCCTCAACCTCAAGGATAGAGTTTGGTGCTTTTATGTGAGGTGTCCTTTATTTAACCACCAATAGAACGCTGTGTTTGCTGTGTTTGTCTTTCCAGACCGCCTGCAGGATTATGTTGGAAAAGAGGAGGAATTCTCTGACCAGCAGCTCTGTGGACAGGAGAGGAAAGCCAGTTTGGACCAAGAGGAATCGGAACATCCGCAGATTAAAGAAGAGCATCAAAAGCCAGAACATCCCTGGACAAAAGAGGAAACCATGGAGCTCCCCATAAGTGAGCAGAAAGAGCAGCTTGTTCTGATGCACGAGATTAAAGATACAAGAGAGAAACCTTTCCCATGTTTGACATGTGGAGAAAACTTTCTTAAAAAAGAGCATTTATTGGTTCAAACGAGAACTCACACAGGTCAGAGGTTTTATTGTCTGTCCTGTGGAAAATTTTTCACAAAGAAATCTTGTCTTGATACACATATGATAATTCACACTGGTGAGAAGCCTTTTTCCTGTACCATTTGTTACAAGAATTTTACTCAAAAGAGTAATTTGACTACTCACATGAGAATTCACACAGGTGAGAAGCCTTTTGAATGTCTGTCCTGTGGAAAAAGCTTCACTAATAAATCTCATCTTGATACACACATCAGAATTCACACAGATGAGAAGCCCTTTAAATGTCTGTCCTGTGGAAAAAGCTTCACTAACAAATCTAATCTTGATAAACACATCAGAATTCACACAGATGAGAAGCCTTTTTGCTGTAACATTTGTAACAAGAAATTTACTCAGAAGGGTAGTTTGACTTCTCACATGAGAATTCACACTGGTGAGAAGCCTTTTTCTTGTAACATTTGTAACAACAAATTTAATCAAAAGAGTAGTTTGACTTCTCACATGAGAATTCACACAGGTGAGAAGCCTTTTGAATGTCTGTCCTGTGGAAAAAGCTTCACTAACAAATTTAATCTTGTTACACACATCAGAGTTCACACTGGTGAGAAGCCTTTTTCTTGTACCATTTGTAACACTAAATTTAATCAGAAGAGTAGTTTGACTTTTCACATGAGAATTCACAAAGGTGAGAAGCCTTTTGAATGTCTGTCCTGTGGAAAAGGCTTCAATGACAAATCTAATCTTGATAAACACATCAGAATTCACACTGGTGAGAAGCCTTTTTCTTGTACCATTTGTAACGATAAATTTACTCAAAAGAGTAATTTGACTACTCACATGAAAATTCACACAGGTGTGAAGCCCTTTGAATAAGTCACAGCAGCTAGATGCCACAGGAATGAAATGTAGAGGTGTTTACCATGTTTGACTGGTGATAAAATGTCCATCTAGAAACTCCTTCACCTCATTACATGAGAAACTCACGAGTCAAAGTCCTTTTTTTGAGGCAAGTTTTGAGAAAGCCATTAATTAACAGCTCTGTTTATTAGATAGGTGTTAGGTGTTATATAGTAAAGCCTGTACTCAGTTGCTGGATGAATATTTGGAAGTGAACATTTGAAAGTTCATTATTTTGGACCTGAGTAAATTAGATTTCAATGGCCACAAAATGTTGCCCTAACAAAAAAAAAAAGATTTTTAAATTTATGATTTTTAAATTTTTCTGTAATGAGGGGAATAAACATAATAAAGTGCAACGACAACATCTTGGTTACAGATGAAGCAGGTTTGCTGTCCATAGAACAAGCAATTGATAAGTTATAGATGTTGAAATTAAGGGGGGAAAAAAGGCAGACCCATACTGTGCAACTTTTGCTTGGTGTTGCATATCTTTTTCTGAATGAATTTATTAAGAAAAAAAACTCCAGTTTTATTTTGTACACCAAGAAACTTTTAGTTGAATGATAAGCTATCGGCTGGCTATATTCCAGAAACAGACTTTTATTCTGATGAAAATATCCTCAGATGCAAAAGCAAAGCTAGGACAGATTTAATGTGCTTTGCTCAGTTTTGCTGATGTTTTTTTGGAGGATTTTCTAAGAGATCAGCTGCAAATGATCAGAGTTTAGCTAATTCAGTGTCTTGTTGGCTTTCATTAGCAATGCATCAACCAGCCCTGCTACGTGTGTTGTTGAAACCAGGCCCACCAAAACTCCAACTGTTTTTGGCCCAGTGTTAGAGCTATGGTCAATGGATATTAGAATGAAGTAGATCATCTATAGAGGAGTCTCAGATGTAGATTTGGGACATGTATAAGTGTGTGTCAGTCTCAGAGTTAGTCAGCTACAAGCTAATTAATGTTGCAAAGTAGTTCCAGCCACCTTGAAAGGGGGTGCTGGGATTATGGGGTTAAACTACGGGACATCAAAGAACTCGGTTTAGAGGCTGGAGTCTGTAGTTCAGGTAAATTGAAGTCCTAAAATGATGAAACATGTTTGTTTAAAAAGATAAACAGAATTGATGATGATGATGTTATTTTTACTGATCCGTTTGAACCTGCTTTAACTTGGTAAAAAGACTTTGTCTTAATAATGTATTAAAGAAATCTGACTCTCCTCTAGAAGTTTGAAGTTTCTGCTTTTTAAAGATTTTTTGAAAGTATAATTTTCCTTTGAACTAATTCTAATAGTTTTGTTCTTGATTCTGTAAATGTTCTATTTACCTGCTATTAGAGCTGGGCGATATGGCGATATATATCGTGAGGACGAGAGAAACATGTCTATCGTGACCTTTCTCCTCTATTTTTTCTATCGTGATAAACTTTTTTATTATTATTATTACTGCTAATATACATTTTAATATAATTTGTTAATATAACATTTTGCGTTTTTGCTATGCAAACTCTAAATGTATATAACGAGAAAAAAAAAAAAGAGAATAAAAAGATAATGTGTAGAGAACGTGGTTTTGCGACACTACACCGCTTTACGTCACGGGGCTTTGCACCATACGTTTGCGACATTACTGACGGAGAGAGCCCGCGAAATTTCTTTCTGGCTTGAAAAAAAATGAATGTTGGACACCCAAGAAGATGTTACCACAGCAGCGGTTACAGAGTCCGAAACGGTTGCCAGGTCACAGACACAACAAACACCACTTTTGCCCAAAAGGGGAGGCAGCTCGGTTGTTTGGTTATTTTTCGGATTTCAGCCATCTGATAAAGAACAAACGCAGCCGATATGTAAACTGTGCAGCAAAGCCGTTCCAGCGGCTGATGCAAATACTTCCGGCCTCTTTTACCACCTGAAGAAAAATCATGAACAAGAACACGGGAAACTACAACCAGTCCGATCAAAACAAACAAGGGATGAAAATACAGGAAGCACTGGAAAGAAATTCTCACAGCCGAAGCTTAAGGAAGCATTCGCCCAAGGATCACAATATGAGAAGACGTCTCAGCGACACAAGCAGATCACAGGTGCTATTTCACGCTATATCTGTAAAGGCATGGCCCCCGTTTACATAGTCGAGAAAGACAGCTTTCGGGACCTCGTCCGTACACTCGATCCCAGATATGTGATGCCTAGTCGAAAACATTTCAGTAAAGTGGAGCTGCCTGGCTTATATGCTAGTTGTCGGGCTGAAGTGGAGAGAGAGGTACGCAGTGGTGCGACGCATTATGCGTTGACTACGGTCATGTGGATGAGTAGAGCAACACAGCCTTATATGAGTCTCACCATCCATTTCATCAAGGACTGGACCCTCCGCGCTCGGTGTCTACAGACCGTGTACTTTCCTGAGGACCACACCGGAGTGATGCTCGCCCAAGGTATGAGCCTGACATTGCTATGCACTTTTGTGCGTTCGCTAGTTTTACTATTATTGGTTTTACTAATATGCTTACACCAATGAACTGTGTGCTTTTACAGCATACGCATCCATTACTGGACGCACTGATAGTATAATTTATTCTGAAGGGGGGAAAAGTGAAGGCTACTGCACCTGTGAGTGTTGTGTTTACACACAAAGGTGCTGTAGCATTCACTTTTTCCCCTTCAGAAAACATAAAATGCAACATCAGTTGTGGTATATCGTGATATATATCATTAACGTGATATAAAATAATCCATATCGTGATATAGTTTTTTTTCCATATCGCCCAGCCCTACCTGCTATGATTGAAGGTAACTATCGCCTATTTTATACAACCGATTTTATGGATTATATTCTGCTGTGGATGTTTTTAATTATTGTAATCACTTCTAAATTGATGAACGAGCAGAAATAAAAACCTCTTACATTGTAAAAAAGTTGCTTCTTTATATTGTTTCATATAAATTACAATATTTTTCCATGTTTTCTCTGATATATTCAGACAAACTAAAGCTGTAAAAGAAATAATTGAATGGCATTCACCTTCTGTCTCCTCCAGTCATTCCTGTTGCTCCTCCGTCGGCATTCATCTGTTTTGCTTTTTAGAGCCTGAGTGTGTTCAAATCTGGCTATTGGATTGTGGAACCATATTTTTTCCTTGGATGTTAGTAAGGTTAAATATTATTGTGCCCTTTATCTCCTCCTGAATAGGGGTGATTGTTTAGAGGCTTTGTTCCATTCTTTATGCTGAGATGTAGGGAAAGGATGCAGGGTTGAAAAGAAGTTTCCTGCCTAGGTTAGATAAGGGTGAAAACATAAATAAACATGTCCTTATTGTGTTCAAGATTCTCACATCCTGTTTTTGGTGTGAACGGGAAACAGTTGTCTGAAATGTTTATCTGAACAAATGTATGTCCTTTGATGAACTAAAGTGTTTTTCTTCGGAAGACTCAATGTTCGTGTGTAAGGAGTCTCTTTATAATGCAAGGGTGGACAGCGACCTAGTCAGAGCTTCCCCTCTGCAGAGTAAAATAAAACCTTTCTTCCTTGCATATCAACTCTCAATGCACATTTTTACTCCACAATTTGGCGTCACGAACAGGATCCTTCTCTGATCCATCTGCTCGGTGGATTCTAGAAGAAGGGCTGATCACCAAAACCATATGGGTTTTTCCTCTACCTCACATAGGCCATTTAATAGAAGGAGGACTCTTCTGATGCTCCACCGAGTGGATCGATCTCCACAGGAGGATAATAACTTCAGGAGACTGAGAGAGGAAGAAAACTATCAAACTCCTTTAAAGGTAAAAAGAAAAAAGTAAAAAATTGTTATAACATTAAGTAGGTAGTAAAAAAACTGACAAAAGTAGGCCTTAAATAGGCTGAGGGTAAGTCTTTTTTAAGACTGAGGGTAAGTCTTTTTTTAAAGACAGAGTTTTGAAAAAGTAGGCCTTAAATAGGCTGAGGGTAAGTCTTTTTTAAGACCTGTCAGGATCCCAGTTTTTGTGTTCGTCTGTTTGTCTTGTCTTTTGTGTTTCTCCCTTCCACCATCAGGAGGCGCCTGGCTCCGGTTCGCCTCCTCACACACCTGCAAACCCTTGCCTCATCACCGGACTGCTCTTAAGCTGCTGGTTGCCACTACTTCGACGCCAGAGTGTTTGCCAGTTTGTGGTACTCTAGCCAAACCTTGTTTATGCTGAGTCTAATCTGAGTTTTTGCATTTTGAGTTTAAGTCCTCTAGCCAAGCTGAGATCACATTGAGTTTAACTGAGCACTTGTTTCTTTGAGACTAAACTTTGTTTTTGTTTTTGCCTTTCGGCAGGAAGCCTTCCTGCAAACTGGACCATTTCGGACCGCCTTCTCCCAAGTGGGATCAACTGAGTCTTACGCTGAGCGACAGATTCCAAACAGGAGGTTTGGATCCAGCCACCTTTGAGAACGCTGAGATTAGGGCTGCAACAACTAATCAATAAAAAATCGACTTTTAAAAGCGTTGGCAACGCATTTCATCATCGATTAGTTGTGTCGCGCGATTAATGCGTCATCCGCCACCGTCGTCATCACTGCCACTTGATTGAAATGGCGGAAGAAAAATAATATGGCAGAGCGAGCCAACGCCACAGGTGAGCAAAGCCTGTTTTCAAAAGGCAGTAACGTCAACTCTTCTAATGACCGATACTGCAAACGCAAGCTGCGTCTCAATTCGCAGACAGCCTGCGCTTCGTAAAGCGAAAAAAGTCGTAATATGCAACTTTTGTAAAACCAAATTAACATGGCATGGAAGCACCACTGTTATGATGCAGCACCTGAAAAGGAAACATGTTGGAGCCTTCGATGGCAGTGAAGAGAGCTGATCAGCAGGATGAGTAACCATGTTTGTTTCGTTTTAAAGTGGGGAAACGTAACGTTAGTTTCTCAGGTAGCTCATCTGATCCTTTCCTTACCTTGTTAGTAGGTTACAGACAGTGATAAGGTTGACTACTTATTTTACTTTTAATTTCATTTGAAATAGCTTAAGCAGCGTTTATATTTTCTTTATAAATAAATTAACTTGCAAATTATGAGGGCAAGGCTTTTAAAGTTTAAATCTTCTGGCAAAGATAAAGTAAAGAAGATCCTGCAATTTATGGAAGTAAAGCAGAATAAAATTCAGCAAGATCAGTAATATGTCAA